CGCTTTAGGTATATCGATTGTTTTTTTTTGGTTTCACTTCAAAAACCTCAGGATATCCATTCGTCCAGAATCGTTAATTCTGATGCATGAAATCGATTTTGAAATCATAAAGACTATTTAACGCTGTACGTCAATTGACCGACGCTCATTAAGAGGGAGAGAGAGAGAGACGTTACGGATTGTCGCAACAACAAAGAGTAGTACCTTATTATCAGTATCATCTTATTGTTCCAACTAAAAAATACCTTCTTATGGCTCCCCGTCAAAGCTAATACACAGCTAATGTCAAATAATACATTATTTAATTATAAACTAATTAAAAGACTCGATTTTCTATATTTTATTTAACATACTAGTTATATAGTAGCCAATACATAGATTAAAATCATAATATTGACATTCACTATGATGAATTATTTTTATTATTCCTACGTTAATTATTTCTATGTTATGAAATACACATTTATAGTAGTGTTAAATTATAAATATCCAGGGACAAATAATAATATCAACGTTAACGAACACAACATGGTGTTGAAACAATAGTAATGTAATACAACAATCGCACACAGTCAGGAACAATTGATGATATTATGCTAAGTAAATATCAGTAACATAGGTGCTAATATCTTAGATTTATGCGTAGGTATTAATATTATAAATAACATTACATTTCGGCAGCTTTACGAGCTTTGTTACAAAACTTATAAAGGGCCGAGGTCTCAGCAAAATTTGCACACCACGCATTCAGAATTGTTTTCGTTATATTGTGTTGGTATTTCTGTCGTATCACGTTTATTTATTAAAGCGCAATTGTTTAGATTTCTTTTGCCAGAGGTTATGGCAACTCCGCAGGGTCACCATTACAGTTTTTGGTTCAATTCAATTCAATTTAATTTGTATAATGGAATAGGGACGCCTTTTAGCTTTTGGTAATGCAAACAAAAAGCCCGTATAAAACCTTCTTAATTTTATTTTTCATTATCCATTTGTATACTTTACACAGTTTAAATAATACGTGATTGTATTGTTGAAATAATTGTGATTTTTTTTTTTTTTTTTAATTCTGTCGTCACCCATTATGATGAATACTTAATTCTATACAATATAATAAATACAAGTTTGCCGTTATGTAGGTTTGAATTCGTAAACAATAATTAACAAAAATAAGTTTATTTATTACAACATTTTGTACTTTTGAAGAAATATTTTAATTTATCTAAGTAAAACAACAACAGTACAGGGTGGTTGGTAAACTAAGAGTCTCTGTTTGTTTATACAATTTCCAACACAATGCAATAACTTCTAAAAATGTTCAATAAAAAATTCACTCACCACGACTTTGTACGTTCGGGTTATAGAACATAATATAAAACGTATACACTTTATTTATTTTTATTTAAAGAAAAAAAACTATGTATACAATATTTAATATGGAATAAATTTCATTGTTATTAAGGTGTAGCAGTGAGTTTAATAGGTACATATAAGGGTTAAGGGTTGGTTATTTATGGGAAGGTTTGTTTGCATGCATATATTCGCACATACATATATGGGCTGGTGCCATAGTATACAGAATTGCCGCATTCCTATAACGCTCTTTGTTGACAGTTATTACTGCGCATAGCAAAACAAATGACTATTTTCTAATTTTGACTCCATCCCGTTTACACTTATACGTCTCCCGAAATTCCCGAAATATCCTTTCTAAACGTCCCTTCTTTGCCCCATTCGACCACACTTGCAACCATTACAAAATTGGTTTTACTATTACACTGTCTAACGCAATTACTGGCGTTGCTTTTAATTGAAATTATGTGTCAACGCAATTATTTATGTTTGAATATGCTTCGAACACACATTTAGTCATAACTAAAATGCTTTTATAATGTTAAGGCGAAACCTACATTAATAACACTCATTTTCTGTTGTACAATCTACTTATCTACTAAATCGTGCAGTTAAATTGTTGAAGATTGATTGATTAATTAATAGTAATTTACCACATTAAAATATTTGCGAACAATCATGTTTAATGTGCTACAAAATGAATACAAAAAAATCTGTATGCTAAATATTTGCCAGTTGTTAAAAATGTATAGATACTCTTTTTTCCGTTTGAGTAGTATATATATATTTTAAAACACCGTTTAGAAAAGAGTCAATTGTAGGGGATATTCTCAATTAATCAAGGATAAGGCCTGAGTATTGCAACTTTAAGCATTATTCACCTATTGTGAATATATAATGTACAGAATACGGTGTATCGTTTTTGAACTGTTAAAAGTTCCGTTGGTTAAAAAGTTATCGTGGGTTCAGTCATGATAAAAAACACACAATTGTAAAATCAATACCACGTGGGTAAGCTTTGCCTCGAAGTTAAAAAAAAAATAAGGTTCTAATCGTGTTATTTATGCTTTCTGACTGTGTACCGTAGAGTAATAATTTTATAAATTAGTTGAATGTGCACAGTTTAGTAGTATAGGTGAGGACTAACGAGCAATGATGAGATTTACCTTCTTCGCGTGTTTCAGTCGGATGTTTTGGAGAAGTCAATATTCTCGTTTTCAATATACCTACTAACTGTACACATAAACCATTGTCATTATAGAATACATATATATATATATATATATAAATAGTATACCTACTTCTATTATAATAATATATCATGTGTGTTTCTCGTTTGTGTTTACCGCTTTCTCTGCCTCTTCCGGGGCTAAACAAACACGTCTACCTTCCTTGTCCGAGAAGAATTTATTAATTTTCCAAAACGGTTTCGATTAAATACACATTCGACGGTGTTTTGTTTCCCGTCCTAAACCAATAACACATTTAATAAAAAACCAACGGACAAGGCAAGAGGACGGTACCGTGTTGGCATGTTTACGATTATGACATGCATGGGGCACAGAAGTCGGCATACCCGTTTAGTAATAATAATTATTTAAACACGAAAAGGCAATTACTAGCCGACGGAACGTCGATGGACATAATACAGTAATATTATAATAAGACAAAAAAAAAAAAAATAAATAAATAACAGCAGGTGTACTCTCAGACATGTCAATAACTTAATATCATTTGTGTGTATATTGGTAAAATATAGTATACCTATATTTTAATAGTAGGTGGGCAGGTATACATATTGTGTTCATGTGATAGGCACTATAATAGCTAGGTATCACGTAAAATCGAGGGAAAAAATTAATTAAAATGTATTCAAAAATCGTAAATTAATACCACTAAAGAAGTGATCAAATATTATTTAATTTAGTTGGTGTATTAATTTCCTTTAATAGTGATAGGCCTAAGTCGTGATAATAATATCTTCTGGGTACCTACATAAAAGATAGCCAAGTATTGAGTGTTGCGTGTTACATATTATTTTAATTGTATGTGTATAATATTATGTACAATAGATTTTTATGAAAAAAATAATTTAATAACATTACAATTTAATACATTACAGTTATACCTAATTTAATTAGAAATCAAAGTTTCTATGCTAAAGTATACGTCATTTTTATAATAACTCATGTTTAATAAGAAGTTAAGTAGGCAAGTATAGATATTTTTTCTTTATAAACCTACTTAAAACGAACTTATTACATTTAATATGTCTTTGGCTTAAATCCGCAAATCGGTAGGTAGTGAGTATAAATCATAATTTAAGTTTTATTATTTCTTTAAAATAGAAGTATAATTCACGCAATGAATTTATATAGTTATTAAGGATCTTCAAGGAACTTAAACGTGAATTCCTAGTAATATTTATCACTCAACACTGTTATGACCTTAAAACAATTAATTCGAATAGGTATTATATTCCTCCGTTTCTGTAGGATTATTTATAAGCATTGTATCTTTTGCGAAGATTAAAACGAATTTTTATTTTATTATGTTAAATATAATATTGTGGTCTTTGCAACATTTTACCCATCGCAGAATATGACTATTGAAATTCTGAGTATAAAGTAGAACTTAAAGGTTTTTGGTGCATTGCCGGTGGACGACATCTATTTAACTTGATAATTTTATTTCTATCACAGAATAATACCTCTATTACTAATAGTACTATGAAATGCGAATTTACTAGCAAATCAAAACCATAAGCTGTGGAGACAGGGGAATTGCTATAAATACTATACCTATTTAATATTTGAATCTGATAAGTGATTAGCTATCATAATAAGTAGAGACTTAATTCATAGATATAAATAATAATGAATTATAGTACACCAATAAAATAAAAGCATATGAAAAATCATACTAACTAGCTAAGCCAAGGCTAAAATGTACTGGAAATTTCACGGACACGCCTAAACTTTTATTATTACTCATCATCGACAAAATTGATTTAACACTTTTTATATTGGTACAATTGCATTTCCTTGTGAAGAAAAATAATTGTATTTCTCTTTTTGATTGGCATCTACATAATATATAAGGTAAAGCCCCTATAACGTATTTTAGTAGGTAAAATTTTTAAGCTATTTAACTGTGATAACGCACTTGGAGTCTATACGTTTTTGCCTTTATCGCGGTTTTAAGCAAGTACATTTTTCAAGTAATATTTAATAAACATCCAATTTTCAAAAATACACCGCTATCTATCGATCACTCGTTTAGATAGTATACGGTTTTCAATTAGCATCCGTTTAATATTCTGTTACTAGATGGCGTCACACTTTTCATATTGTTACCTACTGAAAATTATAAAAACATATTCAAACATATTAACATCGTGTAATAATTACCGTAATAATATGTGTTTCCCTATTCAGATTTATTTTTTAGCTATGATATATTTACTACCGGCTCACGTGTTTTATATTTATTTTAATTGCGTACAAACGTTTTTAATTTGGAAGCAAACCGATGAGCAGAATATTATCAAATAAAATCGAATTATGTTGGTAATAACCACGGCCGTGGTAACAACTAAAGCATGCGTTAACAGTTAACACCGATAATTCTTATCAGCACAACAACTTAAACATAACCGCAAATTCTACTGTGCTAGTCGGTAGTCGCTGGAATTTAAATTCAAATTTCATTTTTATAACATCAATACAAACTACAAATTACAATTTACTGGCCAAAGTCCTAATGTGTATACTATAATAATATTATTTTTTTTAGACATTTTATGTTCAAACAATAAAAATCGCGTTCGACAAAATGTTATAAAATCTGATGATTTATTGTTTAATTCATATTGTACCTACAGTTCTTTTTCCAAAGAATCGAGTGATTTTGGTTTTGATATTCTACAGTACTCTAGTTATAACAAAACGATAATACAAAGTAAGTTTCTTAAAATGTTTACGGGTAAATCATTTATTAGCCAAAATCTTGTTGTATCTGATTTTAATATTTCATAGATTATCAATAAATTAATTGGTAGTTACCTAGGCAATTGCTACTTCTATGAGTTGTGTAATTAGTATAGTATTGTTATATTATTTCATTTACTATTGTTACTAGAATATTGTGCTACATAATCAAAGTGTTGTTATTATGTTTTGAAATTATTATTCGTTGGTTAGACAACAGTACTAGTTGTATACTTCTATGCTAAATATTACAAAAAAAAACTTGAATTTGAAAATCATACTTAATTGTAATAAAAACTTCGATTCACATTTTTTTAAATGTAACATTTTTTGGTGTATTAACAGAATACTAACTTAAAACAAATTAAATAAAAGCAACACGCTTTTAATATATATTTTATTTATATGTGCAGGTTATCATTTATGAACCATTTTATTAGTTTGGTGGTTGGATAGAAGTTGATGTAATCTTTTGGCAGAATTATAAATTTCCCAAGTAAGTATTTAATTAATAATTTAATAACAATGAAAAGGACCCAAAAATTAGCAAATTAGTACTTTAAAACTGCATTTAGCTTAAACCGTATTTAGAGTATAGTTGTTCTTTCAAAACAATTTAAAACTATTTATCTATATTGTTTTCCTGTATTTTTTTTTCTAAACATTTTTCAATCTTATTGTTATCAATTTTTTCAATTTCCCTTATTTTTTTTTTTTTAATAATCAATAGTTAAACAAATTGTCTTAAAATCTCCCATAAACAAAATCAAGATCATAATATCATTAATTTTAGGTTTAAGAAAAACATTTAAAATGGTCTGTTTTTTACATTAAACAATTACTAAAGACTTAAGAAGAGCCTTAAAAAATGTTAACTGCTTATGATAAGTTTCAAAACTGAAAAAAAAATTGTAATAAGAATTTTGACGGCCTAGCTTTTAAAGAGAACTGGTTTTTGAAATATAACTTCTTTGGGATATAAGGCATTGTACAATTAGCCAACATTTTTCATGTAATTACAAAAAAAATCAACTTTTTAAATAAAAACTCTATGAATAAGCCATCTAATTTAGTTATAGCCTTTTATTGAATTGATTAATAAAAAAATTTGAAACAGCTAAAGAAGTAGTACAAATTTTACATTTGAAAAATTTTGTTATTAAGCTATTATAATTTTTTTTTTAATATCTGCACATCTATTTGTATGAACACAGTTAAGTGCCCATACCTAGGGGTACATATCTTTTTTTTAAATATTTTAATTTCAAAGGCCCTCCCCTGGGCATAAAACAGTTGACTTCTGTTTCGCAAGTGTGACACATTGATGGAAACTGAACACAACACATCTAGTACTAATTGTAAGTTTGATGTTAAATCTACCAAAACATGAAGTGTATAGTGTATATACACATCCACTGTGCAGCTAATACATTTTGTTATATTGACAAAACAAACTTGATTATTGATAAATATGACATGAAAATATTTTATTCTCATTTTGGTTTTAAAATTATTATCAATTTTGTCAAAAATAATATATGTTTAATAAAATATAAATTGAAAGAAATTGTATTAATTATGTTTTGTTTATCATTAGGTGTACTGAAATGGCGTCATTTGATTTGAGAAGAGAATTGCAATCTAGGGGACCCGTAGCAAATTTAAACAGAAGTATCGCTAACAAAAAACATACTTTACATTTTGACGGTCGTTTTGTCAGCAAATCAGATCGGTACCAGTTGGAATCATACGGCCTTTACACCCCAAATCCCGTTCTTGAAGGCCTGAGTTTGTCGCATAAAAACAAAATTTTATGGTCTGCTCGACTATCTGAAAGCCTGTGGGCGTGGTTTGTGTACGGTCGCAAGCTTCTGGTATGGAACGCAGAAAACAATAAAGAAAGAAAAATGAACCCTTGTTTTGAACTTGGATTACCTGCAAGTGAAGTTGCTCACCAAGCCGCTTTGGTATGGGTGTACGAACCTGAAACGGGAAAATCGTCTTCGCATGCTTGTTGTATCGCTGTGTCTCCAGAGGGATTAATACGATTTTGGAGAGACGTCTATGACGAAGTTGTGTATATCGAGCACAATACAGAACTGATGGGAAAAGAATGTGAATACCTGTATCAAGTGGACAGTTCGAGATTCATTTTATTAACAACCACCGCCGACTTAGTAATGGTAACTATTAACATGGACAATATCCGACCACAAATAACGAGTAAAATATTAACCGAATCCACCGGTTGGCTGGGAAATATATCTATGAACTTGTCATCGCTTGTTTTCGGTTCGGCCGGTCAACAATCAGATCCTAAAACCGTTTGTGGCTGTGTAGTTAGAAGTACCTACAATTACACTGAGCGTTTATACGTAGTGGCTACAAACGGTACAACATTAACCAAATGGAATGTTTCAGCACCGAATAGAGAAAAGCAATTGTTTGAAGTCAATTTGGCCAGTTCGCTACAAGAAAAATTTTCTATTATGATGTTCAACAGTGTTAGTACGGGTGATATGGACATGGAAATAATTGATATGAAGCCAATCAACAACCGAAACGAAGAAATTATCATACTAATCCATACAAAACCAACTCAAGCGTACAACTATTATATATTAGCGACAATTCAAGTCCAAGACAATAAATGTCCAATAACTTCACTGCACGTGTTGAATAATATCGAGAGTACGTATTTGAATGACTCGTCCTTGGAGTTGTTAGTTGCTGAACAACAAGTGTTCATATTAGCCAAGCATTATATTATTGTTGTTACTTTTGAGCCGGAGTTTCAAACTGATGTCATTGGGAATGATTGCGATTTAAAATTCGGAGGCGGGTCAATAGTAAATAACTATGGTATGTTCTTTACGCAATCGCATTGTTTAACAGTTGTTACTAGAATAACCGATTCCGATTACGATTTTAATGAGTCCAGGAGTGTTCTTCAAGCGCCAGACTTTAATCAGTCTGGCACGGGGCCGGTAGAAATTGAAAGCGGTAGTAATGAAACCAGACTTAAATCTGCTTTTCTGCAGTTTGTAAGCCGCAAAATAGAAAATTGTAGAGCTTTAGTTAAACAAGCATGCCCAGAAGAATCGTCAGCCACTGATGGGTGTAACTTAGATAAAACTGTATTTAAAGTTGGGGAAGATCTAGTGAACGACATCCCAATCAACGATCCCCGATGGTTAGGCGTTCAAGGCGAACCAACAATTAGATCATCGTCTATGGTTATTCTAAGCCACTTGGAGGAAAAACAACAGGCGATACATTGGTATTTAAAATTTTTACAAGAACTCGGTTTATGGTCACGCATGAGGAAAATTAACAAGTACGGTACACAAGTATATACAGGATGTGCACTAAAAGATTTAAGTGAAAAACTACAAGCCACTGTGACATTTAGAAAACTTGAAAGTGAACACAGTGATTTGTTGGACTTATTGATTAAAGATTGTGTAGGCAATTATGCCGAACATTATACTTCACCGCCCGGGCTTACACATATCGATAAATTTTACAAACAAGTCAGCATGTCTCATGTTCTTTTCAAAAGACTGTGTAATTACGGCGAAGAAGTTGCGGCCACCAATCGTAGTGCTGTGGATATATGTGATATTTTATGTAAAATCAACAGTGTATTGGTTAAAGTAATCGGTGCTGTGTTGGAGTACAGAAGACAAAACGTTGAATTCTTCCCAATTGACAAACAGAAACAAACCGAAACATCCTGGATTTTGTGCAAAGGCGATGATGGTATTTGTTCGGAACTTATGGATCAAATAAACATTACATTGAAATTCGCCGAAACGGCCAACGTGTCTAAAGAAATACGTTCAGAAATGTCTGACCACGTGTCGTTTTTAGTCGATTCTATTTTATCGAGTTTTGTTGACGTGTGTTCGAGTTGTGATACAAAATATACAGATATTAGATACAAGTTACTCAAACAACTGGTCACCTACAAAGAACATCACAAAGCAATTGAATTAGCTGAAAAATATGGCGATTACAGAGTTATTGTCGAAGTGTGTTATAAAACGAGTAATATCGAACTACTGTATAATTTCATGGACAAGTTGTATGATCAGAACTTTCGTCAAACTGTGTTTTCTTGGTACTTGGAACGAGAAAAGATTGTGGAATTTCTACGCAACTTTTGTCGTAAACAAAAATATGAACGTGACATAGCCGTAGCATTAGAAGAATACCCAAAGTACGGTTGGATAGCCGGAGGGTTGGCAGAAAATTTGAACGTCGCTTGCGAATCTCTCAAAAAGTGTTGGTCAAAAGAAGAATCAAACGTCATTAGGAAGCAAACCCAATTGAACTTGTACAAAATGGCATGTTTGGCCAAAAACGGTCCATTGGTCAAGAATCCAGAATTGGAACAAATCGACAAACACTTGGAAATGGTAAATCATCAGTTAAACATTCCTGAATGCGTTTTAGAAACATTTGGCATAAACTCGAACAACATGCGGGTACTATCGGCTAAAGAAATATTTAATTTTTACATTTGTAACGAAAACATCATGATGGATGAAAATCATTGCTTACGAGCTTTATCGGTTCTAAGATTTATCGAAAGCAATGAGGAGCGAGAAGAACTCAGTCGCCAATTATGGTGTGAAGCAATTTTGAAAGAAACTCTTAAATATCCACTTCCCGATCAAGAAATCGACGACCCCGTACAATTTGCAAGTAACCTGTTGTTTTTCAAAACGATTACACTTGTTGGTGAAAGCGGTTTGGTAGACTTCTTGCCGTCTTTGGACTGGGTATTAAATGTAGAAGAACTAGAAAACTTTCAATCTAACCCTGTGTGGCAATATATTATGAAAATGGGATTTGAATATTGTTTGAGACCCGCTGAAACATCTGTGGAATTTGAAAATTAACAAGAAGAAAAATGTTAACCATAATTTTGTAATAGTTACAATATAATTGTTTTTTTTTTTTTTATGTATAAAACAAGTTAATATTAATTTCACTTACTTTTGATAATATATGTCTTTGTATTGTAATAATTTTTGAATTTCTTTAGACTTACTGATCAAGTTATCATAAAACACTTGATATTTATTGTGTATACTATAATATAGTGCAAATGTAATAAATAAGTTATAGCTAAATTTTGTTTCGGACACAACTATTTATACATAATAATAAAATTTAGGACGAAAATATATATTTTTTAATTTCCACTTCATTTGTTTCTATATAAGAACTCATTGTCATGTTTAAGCTATTGTTACAATTTAGTAGTGTCTATTTATTTGTTAGCTTTGTGCAGGGAAAATGACTGCAATATCTAGTAATGATTAAATAGTGTTGTCGTTTATCACGTTCGTGCTAAAACTGCAATTAATGGTCGCTCATATACTCACTTTTGCCCATCATTTATAATAATCTGTGCTTAAAAGTATGCAGGTTATCATAATCACTTACACCTTTTGTTAAACAATAATTATTTATTTGTAAATGTTTTCGAAAAAGATATTTCAACATTTGGTTCATTATTTTATTTTTTATGCATGATAAAACAAGCTTTTGAATAGCACCTATTTAAATAGATATCCTACTCGACCAAGAAATAATTTAGATATTGCAAATTCCGTGTTGTGGTGGTGGTGGTGGATCTACGAAAGGGTTTTTTTAGTTGCATTTTGTTTGTACATTGTCAATCTAGTAAAATAGAAGTATAATAAAGCTTTGAAATAATATAACCTATGAAGTATAAATAGTTTGTGTGAGATTGCTCTAATGGAAGTATATAATACATAAATATTAATTTTATTGAAAATAAGCGATTATAATTTAAACTATGGAGTACAAACGATTGAAACATGAATCGTCCACCATTCCAACTAAATTTAATAAGACATTGTATATGTGTTATTTGGTCCACTACGTTTTTGCAAAAAAAAAAACAGTACAGTGGGGTCGGGGCATAGTGGGGACGGGGAGGTCACAGGTTTAGAGGAATTTTTAAATCTGAAAGTGATAAAATCACTTTCGAACAAACGCTTCGATGCAAATCGGTAGTTAGTATTTTCAAGCCAGTACAGTCCAAACCTAGCACAGTATAAACCAGCAAAGTTAGAAAGTATTAAATTGAGGTTCTGTACTTACAAATAAGCATCAAAGCGTTTATTTGAAAGTGATTTTATTCAATTTTATCACTTTTATTTATAATAATTCCTCTAGACCTGTGACCTCTGCGTCCCCTCGTTGCTTTGATTCCATTATACCTATACTCTACTGTACTAGTCCTCTTGTATAAAATCACTGTCAAATTAACGTTTTGATTCTTATTTGTAAATACAGAACCTCAATTTAATACTTTCTAACTTTGCTGGTTTATACTGTGCTTGGTTTGGACTGTACTGGCTTGAAAATACTAACTACCGATTTGCATCGAAGCGTTTTTTCGAAAGTGATTTTATCACTTTCAGATTTAAAAATTCCTCTAAACCTGTGACCTCCCCGTCCCCACTATGCCCCGACCCCGCTGTATTGGTTTTTTTTTAATTTTCGATAACTCAGTCCACTAATCTTTTAAATAATTGATTAAAAAAATATTTTAAAAAACGTATCTTAACTTAAAAAACGATTAGATTTAGGTCTAATGAAAAGTAATCTCATTTTTTTTCTATAAACATTTGATCAACTAAATACTATCATAGCTTCTATTTATGTTCTTCGTGCAAACTCTGTTTTCACATTAAAAATTACTGGTGGTTTGCATTCTGTTTAAAATTCAATCTATTTTGAAATCGATCATAAAGTAATTTTTATTTAAATATCGTCTCGCTTTACCCTGAACTGTGTATATCCTGTAGGCTATATGCTAATCTTACCTTGCCCCTTAGCTCACGCATACATATTATAAACTATCAGGTATTGTATGTATGTAGTTACTCAGTTTCTATAATTATTTAACATAGTAGTAAGTAACATTTACTTACTTACTAATATCAACGTTATTTTGACAATTTTAATGCAAAACAGTTACCTAAATAATAATGTTTATACATACCGACGAAATCTTTTCTGATCTTTTTCGCTGTGGACATTATAAAGTTGAAGCATTAAAATAAAAATGTCTTATTCTCGTGAGGACGCCTATTCCATTTGGCGTGCAATTAAATGGTATATCCGAAAGATCTAAAAGACATTTTAAAAATCACTGCGTGGCCTAAGGGCGTTTTTTTTACCGACCGAGAAACCCAAGTATTTAGGTACTCTGAGGACCACGCTTAATCGCTATTTCATTATTTACGTGGCTAAAGATATTCGCCAACGTGAGGTCGTAAATTTCACCAGCAATGTCCTGCTGGTCGGCCCTTATCTGCAAAGTGAGTTTTTTTCTCATCGGTTAGGGCCCGGGAAATTAAATTTTAATTTCATTGACCCAGCAGGGGTGGTTTAATATAACTCCGGAGCGTTGTATTAAGTTAACGGGAAAGTGTAAACACATCATCATAATATTAATATATATCTACCCCGTGAATGACATTATTTTACCTACATAATATAATAACAATAATGGTGACACGGTACACGACAAAAAAAAAAAAATATATCTATATCCAAATGTATTTCAAACCGAATAATAAATATTAGTTCATACAAATCGTACAGACTTAGCCGTCAGTACTCATTAAAAAAAAAGTTCCCTTTGCAAATGTGTGGTATTTTCAATTGATACGAATTTCTGAAAATATGGGTGATACATTTTTTTTTTTTTAATTATGTGCAACTGAAAATTGATCTCGTTACATCGACGGCTGAACGTAGGAGAAAATTTAAATAATATTGTACTGCGAGTAATTTTTTGTCTATCTAACTGGGCAGAATAATTTTCGTAACCGAAATGGGAATCCTCTGTATAATATTACAGTATAAAAATGATTCGTATAATTATATCATATTTTTCTGGTGGTCTATTGCGGTTAATGGTATTGTGAATCCAAAAGAGTTTGGCCGAAGTGCTACTATGTTGGCGCCTATTTTTTTTTTTAAGAAGCAGCTGATAGAGAATTAAATCAGGCGCCACCGTTGGACGTAAACAGCGGTGGTAGTGCGGGCGATCGAGAAAAAGACAAATGAAGAGGAACCCAATTTGTCAGTACAACCGCTGGTCCATTATAAAGCCGACAATTGTCATAATTAAAACGACCGCCGAGTTTGATTAAGCAATAATAAATACTGCGTAGTGGCGGTGTGTGTTTCTTTTACATTTTTACCCGACCGTTTTTATTATTGCCTTTTTTTGGAGACACTAAAACAATAAAACATCTTAGCGGTTTTTCTGTTGGGGCCTTTTTCTCTGTTTCATGATCGCGTATTCTTGGCGACTGTTTAATGGAAAGGAATGGCATAATCAAGCCTCTCTGACCATAAATTGGACAAGAACAAGGAACGAGCCAACCACTTTGGCTTCCCAGCGCTGCGTTTAAATGGAACATCCACCGTTGTTGCTACCCGAAAGGGTACAAAAAAGTCGGATGACATGTTTTGCCTCTTTATTCCATGTTTAATTATCTCGAAACGCGATATTCGCCTCAATGACTCCTTCTTCTTCTTCTTAACCCCACCGACAAGACTTTGCTACTTTGGTTTGTTTATATGCGCATTAGGCCATTGAAAACAATCTTAAAACCAAAAACCGTAAAAAAAAAAAAAAAAAAACAATTAGCCATTTAACACACAGTTGATAGCGCAGCAATAGCCTTTTTTGATTGTTATACGTTTTGAATAAATAAAAAAATCCACAACGTAAAATACACTACCGTTACTCTTCATATCTCTAAAATAATTATTGATTTTATTGTTGTTTTAACTTTTAATTCAATCAAGCCAGTACTATTATAAAATATTTATAATAAATAACGAAGGCATTGAACAAACTAAATTAAAATCCATTTAGAAAAAATATAATTATTTAAATTATTTGTGCGTTCAATACAAAAGTGTCTTATTTGTTTCAATTAATTTTGGTATTTTTTACAGACAGGATTTTTGTTTGTCAATATATTTTTAATTTGATGTCTGTTAAGTTAGGTACAACAAAATTATAATCATTCGCCGTAGGATATTCAATTCATTTTCAGCTAATATAAAACGTACATTGCCAAGACTCTATTTCACTGTCATAATTATCCTGAATCTAACAAAATATCTAATAATTTGTAATCTCTAAAATAAGTGCATTTTTTTAAAAAAAATTTACATTATCATTCCATGCTTCTAATTAACTTGACATACATACTTAATAAAATATGTTCTAAGCGAATTTCGTCTTTATCTGACCACTTTAAGAAGTTTGAGTGTGTTAAGTTCAAACAGTTAAAAACGTCCAATATTTGGATTGGTTTTTAAAGTTTTTTAAAAATTTGTAAGAAAATGAAACTTCTGAGTTAACCAAAAGTGCGGTTTCTGATGGATATGAGATTCTATTACAGTAAGTCAGTTAAAAAAAAAAAGTATTACATTTACAGACATAATAAAACCATCATTGTAAAAACAATCTAATGTTTTAATTGACAATTTGAATTAATTATTTGACACTAGTTATCGACCGTTCAACGTTTTCAGCTAATTGTTCTTAATTTAATAGGTCTATGAAATATATACGTTATCGTGTAGGATTTTAAAGTCGATAGAGCTCTGGGTAATACTAAGAAAAGTAAACATTTAGTTGTTTTATAATATTGTAAAATCACATAAGCATACTTTTTTCAAAAGAAAAACTTCAAAATTTTTAATTATTCTTAAGCGATATTGAGTGTCTTACGTTAATTAATAAAATATTATTTTGTACATGGTTAAAATATATTTATTTTCCGTGATTTTAGATTTAAAAAAAAATTCTACCCGCGGATCAAACAGTGGCGACAGACATCTTTGATAAAATGGGAATTTTCCAGAGCTGGTCACCTGCGAAAACGATACTCAGAATAGATAAAAACAGAAGAGGTATAGGTTTCCCTTCTGGTTATTCTGTGAGCTAATTTCACACACTTTCATGTTCGCTCAATGTGTTAATCGTTATTCCTTCCTGTCGGCGTCGTTTTCATAAGAAAAAAAAAATATCATAAAACTAAGGTTGTCATAGATTAGTAAATAGAGTTTTGACCTTTGTTGTAATCTCAAAAATCAAAAACGTGTAAGTGATCGTCTACCTTTATGTGAAATTGTATTTTATAGTGTTGTTCGTAATAGCTGCATTATTTGTAAGTACAGCTGGAAAAACCAAGCTATAAGTTGCACATACGACATTGTTATTGTATACAGTATTTTATGATCCTGTTATGTTAAATAGTATTTATTTTTAAACTCAAAAAAGTTGTTTTCTATCTCAGTCCATCTATTTTTGTTTGACCGATTGTTTGCCGACTATGATTTGCTGATGTGTTAAGGAATCTCTTCTATGATACGGCTTTCTTCCTTTTTTAAATTTTGTACTTTAAAGTTAAAAGTATAAACAAAGAATTACACTTTAACAAAGAAAAAAAACAAATGAAAGCAGTAGAACAGTCGTCCCTTAGAAGAGATTTTCAAGAATTGAAATCTGTTTTCACATTCCTAATAAATCAATGAGAGACCTTTGTTAGAACAAAAGTACATTTAAATACGGATACAGTGCATTAGATGGACAGTAGACAGGAAACACCGCTCTCCGATTCTTATTAAGTTTGATATTTATTTAAAGTTAACTATATTTTCCATTTTTTAGACAAACTAAACTGTTTAACATGCCTACAAATTGCTTTAAGTACAACATACCAATTAAAACAATGGCGGTTATGTCTGAACATTATAGAAACTTGTATGGTTTCTTTCAGTAAGTTATCATTTACTTCAAAATAACCCATCTCTAGAGTTATCATTTATTATTTAGACCTTTTTAACGTTTACCATTTTAACCTTTTGTTACTTTTAGCTCATGATGTAGAGAAGATATTATTTAAGAGATCTTCTCTTCATCGTGCTTTTAGCATAGCCTTAGTTCTATATAACTGAAAAAATTGCAAGTACTTATAATTTATTCAATTTCTATTCATTAAATAGTAATAAGTATATTTATTTTTTTGTTACGAGATTTTTTTACACAACTTTTTTTTTTTTTTACCTTCTATTAAATATCTAATTTTTATTACCCTCCCTGGTTTCTACATCTACCTACATGTTACTCAAAATAGTCAATTACACCATCAAACTTCTAGTACTGCTTACGTTCAAAACATTTGTCCCAAGCTATTGTCCATGTATAAATACTTTGTTATTAAGAGATCAGTCAACTCAGGCAAATATTGAATAATCTCATTTAGCCAGTTGCTTTATAATTAGACTAAAGGTAGTTCTAGTCGGCTCTATAATATTTACAAATTTTTAGAATTAGAATTTTTTTAACTCGCAATAAAGACTTAAGATCTGAAAATTAGAGGCTTTGGATACCTTCATACTCATGTATAAATAAAAATATTAATTATTTACAGAACGCAAACCCTATGCGACATTATTTTACTATGTGATGATGACGTGCAGATTTTAGCACATAAAGTAATTTTAGCATCTGCAAGCCCTGTGCTATTGGCAATGTTTGACGGTGGCTTTAAAGAAAGCAAAGAAATTAGTATTCCTATTAAGGACATTGAGTCTGGTATTTTGAAGTCAATAATAACTTGTGCATATACTTTTCAGTTGGATATCCAGGAAAACAATATTGAAGTAATACATACAAACCACCCAACAATTTATTATCCATAAAAATATTCTATGAAATTATTTTATATTTTATGTATTTTAGAAACTATTGAAAGCTTCTGAATACTTCCAATTTAACTACGCAAAGGATTATGTTATGATTATGTTAAAAAAAACATATATGCCAATAATTGTGTTAATTTTATGAGATTTGCTGAACCTACATCACAAAAAGGGCTTATACAATTATAGTTTCCTATATTGTTTAGAAAATTTCAAGTAAGTTTTTAAGATTGGAATTTGTTTGAGAACGTTTTAATCTATACTAAATGTTTTATTCCTAGGACAATTTTGGAAACTGAATCGCAAATAATAAAATTGTATGAATTAAATTTAGAAGATATTTTTAAGATCATATCAAACGATCATTTGATGGTTGAATCTGAAAAAAAGGTACTTAGGCAAAATTAAAAAAATACGTTTAATTTACTTATATTTAATTGCATTTATGATATATTATCACTCCCAACAAGTAAGGTAAAATATTTTTTAATGAGGTCTTAGATGTATAGTTATTTGGTTGTATTATTTAAGAATAAATAAAGATAGTGTTCAAGAATGTGGAAATTATCAAGATACATACAATTAATGTGTCACAAACTGTAAGTATGGGAAAAGTAGTAGAGCTAAAGGTTGAGAAAGCAATCAGGATATTAGTTCAGATATTTGTCAGGATGGTCAAAAATGGAACCATTATTTTTTGTGAGGAAATGAATTGAGAAATATAGAGAAAAAGCGAAATGTATTAGACGTTTTTCTAGACGCAAGTTTTTTAATAATTTTTGAATTACAAATATAAAGAAATAAGATCATTATTTTTAGTTCTTATTACACTTATTCAGTATAAATTTGTGTGATCACATTACTTATGCCTTTTTTTTTTTTACTAGGATAATAATATATAATGAATTATATTATAAATTAATGTGTATGGTTTTTGAATATAAGTTAATAATTATTATAGATCTTCAATTTTATTATGAAATGGATAAAGTATGATATAGATGAACGAAGTAAATATTTAGCTAATTTACTGAATTATTTGAGGTTACCTTTAATTTCAAAAAAAGAATTACAACGGATATGCGATGAACCTTTACTAAACAGCCAAAAAGACTGTAAGTACCTATACTGATTCTAATCATTTTATAATATACAATTTATATTGGATCTCCTTATAAATTTTATTTTAAATTATTTTCACGTTACATACCACTGTGTAGTAGTCAGATATTGATTTTTAATATTTTTAGGCTTGATATTTATCATGAAAAATTATTTATTTGTCGATGTTGATGAAAATATAATAAATGCAACAGTTGGAACATCTCAACTGTATAAACCAAATGTATATAAGTATTTTTTAACTTATTAATAGCATCACACAAAGCAAAATATTTTTTTTTAATTTAAATATTAATTAAAAATTATTGTTACAATATTTTTTAATATTTCACTAATATCGAACACAAATGTTTCAATAATATTTCCCACATATTTTAATTGATTAATAATCTTAAGGAAACTTTTTCACTGTATTACAAAATGATATTTTTTTTATTAAATATATTTTTGCTGTGTGGGATATCTGTAGAATACATTTTACATTTATAGATAATAAAATATTTCTTTTTAGATTTTTTTCGCAATTAAAGGTCAATCTAATGGTGATGATTCTTGTGTAAAGTATATGGATCTGAGGCACGAAGATGATCTAAATTGGAAATCATGTGATTATTCATTTTTTTGTCCACCCCGTGATAATGCAACCTTGGTCGTTTCGGATACTGGAATATTACTTGCATTTGGTGGTTATAATAAATTAGGGGAATGGAATAATTGTATTGACGAACTCGACCTTACTTCTACATCAAAAATGTGGATACCTACAACTCCTTTGCGAAAAATACGAAAGCAATTTGCTGTTAGCACTCAAGGAAAGTTTATATATGTGGTGTGTATCAATTTAGGTTAATTAAAAACCAATAAATCTGAGTTGATTTGGAGTCGATACATGTAATACATTTAAAAAATATTAATTTTATGTGTGTTTTTACGCTTTATGCCGCATAGGTAGGAGGTCAGGATCCTTTAGGACCAACATTAAGTTCAATAGAGTATTACGACACGGATTCGAAAGTATGGGCTGAAATCGAACAGCCAATGCCTTACCCCCGGTATGGATGCAGTGCTATAAATCACGGCTCGTGTTTATATGTTGTAAGTATGCAATTGTATTGTGTTTTTACGTACATACTAGTATACAGGAAGGTTGCCAAACCTAAAAGAAAAATTGTAAATGATTTTACATTGTATACTTAATGGAATTGTTTTTTTTTTCTATAAAGTTTGGTGGATATTATAATAATGACCGATTAAGTAGAGTAGATTGCTATAATCTACAAGAAAAACTTTGGAAGCAGTGTAATTCTATGCCAACAGTTGCTGATTCTATGGGCATTACAAGTGGAGGAAATGATTTGTATTTATTTGGCAGTTACCCTTCTGAAATATCTGAATACGCTTATAAAATGAACTTAACAGATTTAACATGGGATAAGCTTCCTAATATGAACAACAAAAAAGCGTTTGGAAGTAAGTGAATAATAATGTAAAGAAATATTATCCAGACGTATATTATGTTTTATCATATTCTTTGGATCCATTCATGTCGTCATTAGTTATCTGACGTTTCAAACCTATTGCAGGGTTATAGCGATAGTCACCGTTTCACAGTCACGACTTTACTGTAGAACGGTAGCTATTGCTCTGACCCTGCAATTTGCTCAAAATTTTAAAACTAGTAGTTCAAGCTAATAGAGTTCTAACTTCTTCATACGATATATTCATAACACAATATTTTAAAATGCAGATGCCGTTACCTTCGAAAATGATATATTTGTTGTGGGAAAAAATAGCATCCGGTGTTTAAGCAAAAATGAGAAAAGTCCTGACAGTGTCTTCTGTGAAAGATATATTGCTGAAAAAAAAGAATGGCAAGTGATTAATTCAAAAAATAAATTAATCGATTATGATCACATTATTTGTCTTAATGATGTGAGATTGAAAACATTTAATATAGATTTATAAAAATTTAAGTATAATGTTTTATGAAATTTAAAAGTTTAATTCAAAAAATATATTTTAAACGAAACTAATATGAAGTTAACTAGTGTTTAATCAGTAATGTAGATATATTTATTATATAATAAACATCCAATAAGGAAATTACATATTTTAAACCTATTATTTCATTGTTTACTATTGTACATTGATTAAAAAATATTTTGAAAAGATATAATTTTTATGTGATTTCAACCTACTGTGCAGTTCCATCATATTGGGAAACGAATGAAGTCAATTCTTATAAGCTCAAAAAAAGTGTGTTGTAATGTATTTATTTATTTTCCAAAATTGCTAGACTATCTATACATGTATTTTGTACCAACTACCATACCATTGGTTGTTACACCAAATATTTTTGTTTGTTCAAAAAGTGTTTAAAACATTATTCAGTAGCAAATAACCAACATTTAAAACTTATGGTTATTTCACGACCATTAATGTATTTTTTATTGTAAGATAAATTGAATTGGTTAACCAAATTATTCGGTCCTTGCTATTAACTTAAGACTTTATCTTTTTAATAAAAAAGAATAATTATCATAATAATGTATAGCTATCGGCTATTGGTTTCCTTTGCCGCCGTGTTTGCTTGCGGCACGGAACGTTTACTATAACAGCGGCGAAGATACCTCAGAACCACGTCTCATCGACGGCCTTCATTTCAAATGCTCTTAAACGATATCATTTATTTTGTCATTTATATATTATAGTTTGTTTATTAATTGTTATTGTTATTAATTAATTACAAATAATTTGTTTTTACTTGTCAAAGGAGTTTTTCTGTTTTTGTGTTAATTATTGCAGCATAGTGGGGATGGAGAAGTCTCAATTCTTTAGGAATTATTAAAATTAAGAAAATCACTTTGAAATAAACGTTCCTATGCGAAAATGAGTACACGGTAAATCCTATTCTATATAAGTATAAATTATTATATATGTTTATTTGAGTTGTTGAATATTCATCGGTAAAAATGGTTACCTATGTACAGATTGTATAAATATTTTTTTTAAATTAGACGAAAGTATGGATTTTGTAAACATTTTATTGAAAATGGCAATTGGCACATAAACTTAAAAACAAAATATTTTTGAGTATTGAAAGAGAGAGTGTGCTGAAGAAATGGGTGAACTCGTATGTCTATATATATCAAATATATATATGAGAGGGAGCTGAAGAAGTGGGGGAACTCGTACTATATATCGTATACGAAGATCCGCACAAAAGAGAATCAAAGAAAGCCAGGCGTTACTGTATATCTATATATATCTGCGTTCGCTCGCTCGTTTTAACGGGTTAACTACCCATACGACGCGCCTAAAGAAGTTTAACTTCAAAAAAGATACGGCTGTATGAGAACTTCAGAAAAGTAATATTGTGTACTATGGTCACAGGTCGGTGATAATAAATAATATTTAAAAAATACGGTAACATAATATTAAGCTACTTTTTTTTCCTTATCATCAACGCTGGGAGATATTACGTTGGTTAGTTGGTAACACACACACACCTGTTCATTCCAGTTGGTTTCTGTCCATTTGAAAACAAATTTAACGGTGTTTTGTTGTAATTCTTAAAATAAAAACGTTTATGTCGATTTGTTTTCAGTGGCGGATCCAGGGGTTTTCCAAGGGGGGGGGGGCGAATTTTCGTTTTTTGTAGGTATAGTAAAATTACCTTTTTTGATTTTTACTTTTTATTAATTGTCTACAAAATATATTACAATGTATTAATTATTTTGATTAGTTATTTTTTAATTAATCATTATTAATTCAGTTTAATTTTGACCCAATAAAATTTCATAGAAAATAGCTACAACAAGTTTGTTTAAATATCAAACACATACTTATAATTAAGTAAAGTACAATACTCAGATATTTATAATATAAAATCAATGCCTTTTTTTTCTTTAGCAAATCTTTCAATAATATCATCTTCATTTAAGGCGAATTCGATACTGGCCGTTTTTTTCAGTCAAAACACATCATTTTTTGTCCATCGCACAGGCCGAACCAGTAATCCGATAAGTAATTTGAAAACAAATTTGAATTCGCCATAAAGTTTACTTAGGATCGGTCAGGGTACTTTTTTCAATTTTTAATTTTAACCCATTTGAAATTTTAAAATTTTCTAAAAAGTACGCTGACCAATCCTAAGTAAACTTCATGGCGAATTCAAATCTGTTTCAGCGACGGAACAAAAAATGTACTATTATATTAACTAAAATGGCTTTTACTCATAGACGAAATGATTTAAATTGAAAATAATACCAAGAAGCTTATACAAATTAACAGGTAAATTAATTGACATAGTTGAAATTTATTACAACCACTTTTTTCTTGGGTCTACCCATAGGCAGACTAAAAAAAATTTGTTGGGGGGGGGGGGGCTAGCGAGAGCCCACTCAGTCACTCCCATAAATAAGTCCCTGTATTATTGCCATACATCCGGTTCCGGTCTCTAAGAAGGACTTCAAGCTGCAGCTCAACAACAGTGTTGGATCTCCAAGGTATTCTATAATTTCGTATACCGTGTTAAATAAAATAGTCGTCATCGCCACTTGGTTTTTAAAGCCATTGTGTCGATAAACTTATTTCGAGTAAGTACATAATATTTTAGCTTAAGTGTTTCGACACCAGGGCTTTTAACAGGCAATTGCCCCGAGTTCCCTAACATATTAAACAACAATATCCGTATTGACACAGTACATTTATTGGGTGATCATTAATTAAGTGTATTAGTATCACTAATAGGTTTTCACGAGAAAGGGCGTCAAACCAAGTGAGACGACCACGGCCACAGTCGTAAGTCAAACTGGATCGCTCGCTTCGGGGTTCCGGATGTCGTCACGACAGATCAGGGACGGCAGTTCGAGTCCGAGCTACCACCCGCAAGCCAACGGCTTGGTGGAACGTCTACACCGGACGCTCAAGGCGGCAGTCACCGCATTGGACACGACACCTGCCGATCGTTCTCCTCGCGCTGCGGAACACCGTCAAGCAGGACATCGGTGCGGCTCCGGCGGAGTTGGTTTACGGGACATTCCTCCGACTCCCTGAACCCACACGGCGCTCGGCAGTTCACCGCCTCCGAACCAAACCGTCGATGGAATATGCAGGGTGGTACAGGTTCCCCTGTGCCGTACTCTTGCACCACGACTGGAAATCCACACGGCTGCAAACAGTATACCGCGGCCGCGCCGAATCGCCTGTGGTACACACACGGTGGCTCCGGCTGTCCTGCCTCAACTGGCCTATAGCCGCACGGAGGACGACATCTTTGCGCCGCCGACCCGTACCTGTCGTGGTAGAAACACGCTCGCAAGCCGGTTCGCGCCCGACGGTTGTTCGGCAACGGTCCGTCTGCCTCAACTGGCCTAAAGCCGCACGGAGGACGACATCTTTGCGCCGCCGACCCGTACCTGTCGTGGTAGAAACACGCTCGCAAGCCGGTTCGCGCCCGACGGTTGTGCGGCAACGGTCTGTGTGCGTCGCCAGGGTGGAGTACCGGAGCACGTTCTACCGGTGCCGTGTCCCACCATTTTTGCTTCGCCTTGAACACGAGAACGATTTTTATTTAAACTAATAATTGTTGTGCTGACACGGACAAAACAGCGAGCCCTGGTCGGTGGAAAGCGATGGACACCGGTGTTGGTGCCCGCGGATCCGAGCCGAAGGTGTGTCATTGAACGTGTCATCAAACAATATGTATGCTCATACGTACCTTGTAGAGCAGATAACCGCCGCCAGCTGCCGTTAGAACGGCGCCGCCGGCCCACAGAATCTTTTCCATAGAACGCATAATACCTACACGAATATTTCGAACGCAAAAACTATATTTCCAACGGAGTGGACAAAAATGTTGTTTACTCGTGAAAAGCTAAAAAACAACTGAACTCTAAGACGGTTGTTATCGCCGCCGTTTCAATATAGTAACACAAATTTCAGCCAGCAACCAATGTACTCACGCGGTAAGCACAGTAGTGGTCGTTTATTCAATTCAATTGAATTCTAGTTAAATTAAGAACAAAAAACATTAAAAATCAGTGTATATTTTCATTCAGTTGTACAAAGATGCGTTTTACAAATTATATTCGTATAATATTGTTTTGTTAGATAGATAATTTTGTAAATTAAACGATCACAATGTATACAATATTATATTTTTGCATTTTTCTCTTAGTAAGTTGATTTTTGTTTGCATGAAAAAATTAAAATTTTACGGATAAATGAATTATATAAGTAGGTAGGTACATAAAAAACGGGAAATACCCTATCACATATGTAAAAAAAAAAACAAGTAGAAGTTAGTATGCGGTCTAACCGTAACATGTGCGAAATGTTTAAAGAAGTGTGCAAATAAAGGCGAAGATGTTGTGTGTTGCATACCTTATTTTTGTAAGGATAATAACATATTAACTTTGACGAGGAGCTGATATGGTATTGTAATTATTACAATGATTTTTTTATTTTTCTGCCTAAACCCACGACGTCTCTTAAATAGCTGAACCGTTGGAAAAACCCCCAAAAAGGGGAAACCCTATAACTTTGAGCGTTATCAATTTCCTGGCTGCCACACGTGAGCGAATCAACAGTCGACAGGTAATGGAAATATTTTCTTGTTTTTGTTTTTTATGATAATATTATATGGGTAACTATGTCAATACATTTGTATACACCCTAGTACTAAATATGTATTTTTAAGCACACAAGTGTCATTAGATTCAATGCTTTTATGGATATTTGTGCACAGGAAACAGGCGACAAGAGTGAATGTGAAAATATTACCTAACCTTAGTGCATTGGTTTTGAAGTGTACAAGTTTTCCAATTTTTATTAAACAATACTGAACGCACAACATGCGCGAATAATAATCGTGCGTTTTATAAAAATATATTGTATAAGTTGGTACCACTGTTCCTTTCGAACGGCTCTGTGAGATGTAACTTTTTTTACATTCAAACGCGTTTCAAATTTTCCATAATAGTTTATAATGTTGTTAATATTTTTTCAAGTTATAACAG